AAAAAAAAACGACTACGATGTATGAAAAAGTCGAATTAACATAAAATTGGCTAAAGAAACAGGTGTAACTAAATTTCTATATTAACTTGTTTTCCTTTAAAACTTTGACTTTAGACAGTTATAAACCCCGGCAGCAGCATAAAACTTTTGACTTATGCAATTACAGAGAAAATATAACTGTCGGTTATGCAGCTTTTCATGTTCACATCTCCAATAAACATAAGTTCTTCTTCATAATAAACTATGTGAATTTCTCAGCACTGTTATAGAGTTTTTGTTGTTTTTGTCACCACTTTTTTGGTTTGACTTTTAGTTTTTTTTTTTTCTTCTAAAATTTTCTCCCTATAATTAACGATAAGATTCCGCAACTGTAAGAAGGAAAAACCTCTTCTTGGATACAGTATCGTATAAATAATTTGAGAAAAAAAATTTTTTTTTTTAGTAGACAATAATTGGTAAAAAGTCGTCATAAATACCAAAAAAAAAAAAGAAAATAGAAACTATCCAAAGAAACTTTAATGTGCTTTCTTCCTTTTTCATTCTGTTCCGTTTTCGAGTGATGTTTGCGTATACAATTCTGTTATATATGTGACATTTGATTACCCGTAAAGTTTTTGTGAAGGTTCAAAAACAATTTCCGCCTTGAAAAAATACCGAGAAAAAAAAAGTCGAGATTATTATCAGAAATGTATGTATGCAATCATTTTCTTCTTCTTCTTCTTCTTCTTCTTCTTCTTCTTCTCTTTTCTATGCGCTTCTTCTACTTCTTTTTTCATTAGTTTTATCAATCTTTTTTACTTTTTTTTTGCATCTTTCTGTCTTCTTTTTCTTTCAATCTCTTTATACTATTTTGTTTAATCGTTTTTGGAAAAAGCAAAAAAAAAAAGAATATACTGTGCTGACGATGACAACGAAACCGAATAATGACGACGATGTTGACAACGACAATGACGGTAACGATGAAAAAAAGGTTACCGTTTCATTACAGTGGACAACGCAATAATTTTTTGTGCATTAAAAAAATAAAAAAACAACAATATTTATTCTGCGCACATTTAATGCATCAGTAAAAATGATAATGGAAAAGAAGGAAAACCGATGATAATAGGTTTATTTTCATCGCTAAACAATTCTGAACAATTAGCAAAATTAATACTTCTCTTCTTTTTGATCGAAGCGAATAAAAGTTATAATATATTTTTGTTCTGTGTTTGCTAACAAATTTCTTTGCAAATACAGTCATAATTATTTTCAATGAGTAAATTTCTTTATTTTTCTTTTTA